GTCAACTCCAACCCCCGTCCCTTAGCAGACTGGAGGATAGGAAAACAACATAAACTTCTTAATTACAACCCATAAACAAAACGCCAATAACTTTCAACCCCAGGCTTGTCACCCCACTTGTGATTACTATCACAAACTCAACCGTACTCGTGATAAATGATGGAAGCTCCACAGAAAACCTGCATCCAAACCGTCGGCCAAATCTTCCGCTGTCAAGGGTCTCCCTACAGCTTATGAATACAACACAGTATAACAGACCTCTGCCCAAAACAATTTGGAATTCTCCAACTCAATCAAAAGTCAAATATAACACATAATCAAGACGCTTGGATTCAGTCCGCTCACTTCCGACCCGTCGATCTCCCACATTCATCAAATAACAAATAGTATGACACTTCTTTTGTCTTTTCTAATTCATTGATCATTAATTCATCTATCACGGACCACATGACTAGAAGCTCTCAAGCCTTCTCGACATCATATCCTTATTCGGGGTAAGATATTGTTAAAATTGTTGACGATTGCTGGTAAAGAGTTTGATGTTTTAACAACAGGTCTAACTCTAGAATCTATATTACATGCCTCTCTACTGAAGTGTAACATTTTATCTGTGAGTAAGTTGAAATATGACATTGATTCTGTTGCTCATTTTTCCTCTGATGTTTGTGTCTTTCAGAACCATCGTTTTGGGAGGATGATTAGAACTACTAAGCGGGTTGGCGGTCTCAACTTCTTCTAAGAGAAAATACGGAGAACGATGACATTCCACCCAGTAGTTGCAGCTTATCTCAGTCCACTAATTATCTTATTATGTTGTTACACTATCGTTTAGATTATCCTAACTTCCAGTATCTAAAATGATTGTAACCATTAAGGTTTAATAATAAAAATTCTTCTAATTTCAAATGTGACATGTCAGTTAGCTAAACATTGTGTTCCTTATGTATATCCACCCTACAATTACACACATTTTGCTCCTTTCTCTCTTGTTCAAAATGATTTATGTGTTCCTTATCTATATCCACCCTACAATTACACACATTTTGTTCCTTTCTCTTATATTCAAAATGATTGTATCCGTTAAGGTTTAATAATAAAAATTCTTCTAATTTCAAATGTGACACATGTCAGTTAGCTAAACATTGTGTTCCTTATCCATATCCACATTACAATAACACACTTTTTGTTCTTTTCTCTCTTATTAAAAATGATTTATGGGGAACCTCTCGCACTTCTAGCTACACCAACAAATGATAGTTTCTTACTGATTGGTGATCACACTTGGATGACAAACGTCTATATTTTAAAAGATAAATCTAAAGTTACTATCACTTTTAAAAACATTCACACTTCATTTTGACCCAATTCAAAACTCTTATTCAAGACCATTGGAATAACAATGATCGTGAATTTTTTAATTTTATATTAGAAAAATTCTTAGTAAGTATGGGCATCCTCCATCATAGTCCATGTATTGACACTACAATAAATTGGGATAGTTGAGTGAAAAAAATAACATCTCCTTGACGTTACTCGCTACATTACATTTCACTATAATATCTCAAAACGTTTCTAACTCTAATATCTCAAAACGTTTATGGAAATATGTCATTCTAACCATCACATATCTCATCAATAGAGTTTCCTCAAAAATTCACAACTTTCGTACCCCTTTAGCGTCTTGAGATCATGCTTTCCTAACAAATGGGTATTCTCCACTTTAGCCGTCATCGAGTACTCTGCCACTTAAAAAAAGTATCGATGACTTGACCCTACCACAAAAAAGGTCTACGTGAGTGCTAGTGTCTCTTTTTTTTAAAAGTACTCCCTACTTTCCTAACTCAGCCTTCAATGAGGGGGAGCTAGAGTTCTTGGATGTTGTTCCTTACCCTACTTTTGTGAATGTTCCACCCACACCTACCATCGAGGAACTCTTTGTTCCTTTGGTTCTACCAACTACTCGTACCACCAAGAAGCCCATTGTCCCTTTGGTTCCACCAGCACATCCTGCCACTCTCCATGTCTACACTCGACGTACTCATTCTGATGCACCTACTCTGAAGCTCGTTAATCCCTTGTTGGACCATAAATCCCCTCCAGACAACATCGTCCAACACTGCTCCTACTCCAAATGAGGAAGTTAATTCCTCTAATAAGGTGCACAATCAGACATGCTCTCTCTATCCCATGGCAAACTATGTTTCTTTTCGTAGATTATCGCCATCCTAAAGAGCATTTGCTACAATCCTGACAAATTATCAACTTTCATCTACTATTGAAGCTATTGTCATGAGGGAGATGAATGCCCTTTAACGAAACCATACTTGGAATATTGTTGATCTTCCTCGGGACAAGAAAGTTGTGAGATGCCGATGAATTTTTAGCACCAAGTTTAAATCTAAAGAATTCTTTGAACATTTGCCCAAACCTATGGGGTTGATTATGAGAAAACATTTGCCCAAGTTGCTAAATTAAAACCATTCGAGTCCTTTAACCCTTACAGTGACTCTTGATAGGCCATTATTCTAGCTTGATATCAAGAATTTGTTCCTAAATGGCGATCTTAAAGTGGAGATATGCATGGCTCTTCCTCCAGGCTTTGACTCCACTGCCTCCCAGGGGCAAGTATGTAGGTTGCAAAAAATCTCTCTATGGATTGAAGCAATCACCACGGGCATTTTTAAGGAAGTTCACAAAGGTGATAGTAGGCCATAGATTCACTCAGGATCAATCGGACCACGCTCTCCAGCATTCCTCCAGCAATCAGGTAGCTATCATTATTGTCTATGTTGACATTATTCTCACAGTTAATGATCTATCAACATTGGAGTCTTTGAAAGGCATTCTCATTCCCTTTGAAATGAAGGACTTGGAAGCTCTCGGGTACTTCCTAGGCATGGAAGTTGCTCAGACATCTCAAGGTATTTACCCGTCTCAACGAAAATATATAATTGACTTTTTAACAAAGAACAATCTTCTCCTGTGCAAACCAGTGACCGTCCTGATGGATCCAAATGAAAAACTTCTTGATGTTCTTAATGCAGTTCCTGTAAACAAAACTCACTACCAGCGTCTTATGAGAAAACTCATCTATCTTGCCCATACACACTCTGACATTTGTCACGCAGTTGGGATAGACAATCCATGCATGATCCCTACGAGCACCATCTCCAAGATGTCCACCAGATTCTCCACTATTTAAAAGGCACATCGGGCTCAGGTTTGTTTTTTTTCCGACCATACCTCTCGTTCTATAATAGTTCACATAGACACACATTGAGCTGGGTCTGTCCAAGATTGATGATCTACCTTGGCGTACTGCTCATTTGTGTAGGGAAGAAAAGCAAGAAGCAATTTGTAGTTGCTTGGAGTAGTGCGGAAACAAATTTTGGTTCATGTCTCTGGTAATTTGTGAAGCTCTCTAATTATGCATTATGTTCCACGAACTACGTATGACAATCTTCGCTCCCCTACAGTTGTTCTGTGAAAACAAAACAGTCATTAGCATTGCTCACAACCTGGTTCAACATGATCGCACCAATCATAGATTGACTGATACTTCATTAAGGAAAAGTTCGAGTCAGGGAAAATTTGTATTCCGTTTGTGTCATCTAATGGCAAGCTGGCGGATATTAAAACAAAACAGCTATTAGCATTGCTCACAACCCAGTTTAACATGATCGCACCAAGCATGTTGAAATTGACCGATACTTCATTAAGGAAAAGTTCGATTCAGAGAAGATTTGTATTCCGTTTGTGCCATCTAATGGCAAGCTGGCGGATATTCTCATTAAGGTCATTGTTCAAATATGACTGACATCTATGCTTCAACTTGAGGGGGAGTAATAGAATATTTATTAATGGCTAGTTCTAGCTATTATTAATTAATGTTTATTCCAAATTATTAGCTTGGATTCTTTATTATTCCTTTCCTTTTCTACTATATGTTGTTTTTAGTTATTTTCTTTCTAATAGAAATCTTATAATGGGTGTTTATACCTCTCTTTACATCTATATGATTTCACTCCAGGTTCCATTCTAACAGTAAAGAAAAATTTTATCTTCAAGAACCAACTAGATACAATACGTATCATACCATTTTCAGGTTATTATTGGTGGAGGGTTGGCTGATTAATTGAGAACTTAAGATCTTCAAAGGAAGTGTAGTCCAGTTTAAGTATTAAATCACATTAGTTGCTTCTTTTGATCTCATTCACTAGCGAATATGCAAGCATTCCAGGATACGTACAACCTATAATACTAGAGTGTGCATATGATTAGTTAAGTAGGTTAGCGTGTAAATAGGCAGTTTATATGAATAGGTCTGTATTTACTTAAAAAAAAAATGTAAATAACTCCATGGCCACAATGCAAAAACATCGAACAATAATGCATCTGCAATATTCATTATTGCAACGCTGTGAAAACCAATATGATTAATCACTGGCCTCTCAAAAAGCAATACGTAAAGTACATGATTAAATCACAAATTAGTCTCCAAACTATAGAATGTAACCAATTTAATCACAAAGCATCATAATTCCCTAATTTAGTATCTCAACTATATATATTTAATCAACAATAAAAAATTGTGATACGGAATTGATCTCATATCAGTTCCTCACTAGAAAAAATTGATAAAAATTTAGTGTCAGAGAAACCATTTTGAATCACTTTTATATAGTTGAGGGACCAAAATTGATAAATGTGAAACTCTATGATTACATTGGCCACATAATCGAAGGATTCTTTCAGGATTTACCGCAAGTAGAAAAATTTTAACACTTGCAAAAACCGTGAAGCAAACAAACTTTGACCGGAATACATTGAAAAATAAGGTGGCTCAAATAACAGAAACATAGATTTAACTAAAAACCACAATATAATTTTCAAAAAAAAAACACAATATAGAACGGTTTGCCAGGATAAATTATCACTAGTTACTGACTATAAATTTCAAGAATAAACGCATAAGAATTGAAGAGCTGAATGACCTTTACCAATGATAGGAGATGCAGTCATGCCAAATATTCGAGGACACTTAGCAGTGTTAGCTTTATAGAATTCCTGAACAGTTTCACATAGTATGATTAGAATAAACAGGCCTTGTGAAGGGTTCCGTTATCATAAATGCTTGGGTAAAATCACCTTCATGATCTGTGCATAAGGATGTCTAGTCTGAGCTTGCGCATGATGGCATTCATCAAAAATCAAAAGAGCAATCAACTCCATCCGGATAAAACAATGCCGTAAGTTGTGCAGTAGTATTTGAGGTGTCATGACGAGAACCTGCATGTTAACCAAAGCTACAAAACTTTTATAAAATCCAAAACATCTAATAGCCGCAAAAAATATGTTAACTCGCAATACGCGTGCTGATGAAGTAACTATGCTCTCCCAAAATGTTTATATTTGAGGACCACAAGCATCTAAATAAAATGGTGAAGAAGAGTGCGCCGCACCCTATCAGAATTTTTGCCTTTACAAAAACAATAACAACAACAACAACAAAGCGATAATCCCACTACGTGGGGTCGGCTACATGAATCATTTTCTCCATTGCATTTAGTGTCATATTTTCATTTAGTTCTAGTAAATTAAGATCATTTTTAATACAATAAGCCAGTCTTCCTAGGTCTACCTCTGCCTTTCTTAACACAAGTCGAATTAAATCGAATCTAAAACATCTACGGATCATTTAATAGTCGACGTTTAATATGACCAAAACATCTAAGACGACTTTCTCTAATTTTGTCTGTCACTGGGGCTACACCAACCCTATCACGGATATAATCATTTCGCATTTTGTCTCTAAGTGTAAAGCCAGTCATCCACCTAATCATTCTCATCTTGGCAACACTTAACTTAGAATTATGCTTCTCTTTTAAAGGCCAACACTCAGCGCCATACAGCATTGCAGGTCTCACCACCCTCTAACACTAAGGGTCTGTTTGGCGCAGTTGCAGATTCTCAGCTTTTCAGCTGCAGCTGCGCTGCCCCAGGAAGTAGCTGTGGGGAAGTTGACTGTCTGTTTGGTGCAGCTGCGTGAAAAAAGTTGTGAGCCAGCTGTTTTATGTAAAAATGACCAAACTGCTCCTATTTGTTAAAACTGTTTAAAATTTTTGATTTATTTGTATAAATATGGGTTTAATATACATAAAATTTTATAAAAATATTATTTTTTAATTAATTAAATGAAATAAATTGTTTTCAATATTCATTTTTATAGATAATTTTTAAAAAATAGTTTGCAATTTTAAACACATATAGGTTTAAAATTTATCGTTATCTATATATCAATGTATACAAATATTAATTCATCTATACATATAAAAATTTACAAACATATTTTAGAAGCATAAAATATAAAATATATAAAAGCACCTCAAGCCATATGAAGTCGTGTTTTCTTACATAAAGACGTAGGAACTCATACAGTTTCGTACATCCAAAATAGCCCAGAGTACATAAATGCAACTCAACCACTAGCTAGGAGAAGCAGAATGAAAAAAAAACTGTAAAACTACGACCACGACGAGTAGCATAATGGTAATGTTATTTCTAACAATGACACGGTGTAGCTCCCGTGTCTGCCCATCGTCATCTGAAGCTCGATAATCGCTACCAACATCATTCTCAGCGTCAAAGAAACTGTCCGCCCATCGGAAAAATCTACATTGATCGATAATGCTTCGGGGGCATGTATAAAACTTCCTACCATAGCTATATGCTTGCCGTGAGGTCAAAAGTGTGGTTTGCAGGCCACAATGACAAACCACTCGTCGGGAGGTAGCGGACATCCTAGAACTCATATTATCCTGAAAAGCAATGCAGCATAAAACATAATTACTAGCATATTAGGTAATGAAAAAAGAGATAATTAAAATTGAAATATTTGTTTGAAAACAAACACAGACCCCTAATCATATTGTGTTTACAGCAGATCTGAATCGAAATAATCACTCTCCAACTAATGAGGTAGTGATCTCCTCACGAAGGGCTTTCATTTCATTCGCACCTTCCCCATCTTTCGTGCAAATTGAGGCATTGTCGTTCTCCTCCGTTGATAGAGATTGACCAATGCGGTATTCAAAAACTTCGACTGACACTTCCTCGTCATTGACCTCGACACGCTCGAAATCAACATCAGCTCGAGTTGGATGCCGCCTAATATAGTTATTAAGGGTCATAGTGGCTAACACTACATGCACCTGTTTCGGAAACGGATAAGGTGGCATATCTCGAAGTATGACCCATTTTTTCTTCCAAACTCC